AATATTAATAAAAACAAAGGTACACAGCTCCTGTTTATTTTACTGCAGAGAGTCTTGTTTGTTGAAAAGAGCTACCCAATGGTGACATTTCAGTACATAGGTGCGACCTTTCGTAGTGTGACCTTTCATCCTACCACGCAAGTATGCAAATAAATGCCCTTTTATGATCGACATGACCTACATTATCATTGCTTCAACCCCATTTCAAGTTTCTGAAATTGTGCTAATATATTTATGTAATTTCCTCCCAGTGTGTTTATTTTTCCCAGCTAGCATTTAAGTACGAGTTTATTACACTATGCGAATAATGATAACTTGTCTCTACTACACTCCATTTACAGTATACTGTCCAGCTTATACTGTCAACAAACAAATCAACAAGTGTCCGTAGGATACAAGTACACTCGTCCGTGTCTCGTAATTATGGTGTTTGCGGAGCAGTTTGATAACTACCGACATGCCAAATTTCAGCCTAATCAATAAAAAGGATTTTGATTTATTTTTGACCTGTTCCGCAATTCTATGGAGATTTGGTTTGTTTTCTGAAATATTAATTAGATGGCCTATAAAAACCTCTACAGTGTAAAAAGAAACAACGGGCATCATCTCAGGCATACTAGCAGACGGTATACCAAACTACGTACAAATGTAGCAAAGGGATCGTAAGATACAGCTGCGAACATACGGACAAAACTAACCACAGTCCTCCAAACGGCACCGAAATATAACCTCGGCGAGGTAAGAAAAGGATTTAAGGATTTGTTACAACTGGTGAAATACTCACAACCAAGGTCAGACAACATGACTCTGGAACTCCCTACCAGTAAGTGCCATAATCTCCCCATGTTGACAGCTTCGCGGACCAGGCATTGTTTTTATCGGTTATCCAAGTCACGGGGAAAATGTAAATATCCCCTGGTGCGGTTACCTCAAATGACCGGACTCTCTCAAACACGAACTTTCGCCACACTTCCCGTGTAGTTAGGGCCTCTCCGCTTCATGACTGGTTGGGGGAGGGGGCACAGTATTAAGTTCATTCTCTAGTTTGGTCGACACACACAGCTACAAACACAAATGAATATCTAAACACTAAACGCATGCAAACACACATTCAAACTAAAGCTCACATTTACACTTACACAAACATATACGTATACGCACAGATATACACATAAATACATATGCGCACGCACGCGCGCGCACACACACACACACACACACACATACACATACACATACACATACACATACACATACACATACACATACACATACACATACACATACACATACACATACACAAATACACACATACAATCTCAAATTCACACACAAACACACGTTCATATGTACACACACATAATTAGATATACACATATACATACACATACGACCAATTAGTTGAACGGGCCACTAGGAGCAAGATTATACATATACATGTAGCCAGGCTACTCATGAGCAGGTCACGTCATGTTAAGCAGCACTGTTGACCGACCTAACATGGCGGCCCTTGTCGGGCCAATATTGACTGAACAGTGCATCTCTAATGACCCGCCTGCGGTCATGTGTAAGCATCTAAGGTCACCACTGTTGTACAGGTGCGTAGGTTTGGTTGTTCAGAGAACGGTAAAAGTCGAGATGAAAGACATGTACAGTATCAAAGGTTGCCATGTTCATAATGCAATTACTCGTAGCTTTTTGCTTTTTCCGTCTACCCTTCTCTACTTACCTGTATCTACATGTATGTATGCGAGCAACGATGAATAAAGCAAATAAAATTCACAATAACTCTAGATACCTCAGTAAGATATGAACTACATTATTTGTTCTTAATGAATCTACTGGCACAGCTCTTCCCTATTTTCTACCATATCAGTAACAGAAGTGAGGATTATCTGTAAGAACTTCGAGATATGCGTAATATATTCAGACAATTAACTCAGCGCCTGTGTGACTTCTTCAGCGTAGGGACTAGATGAAATAGTCATCAGGGAAAGATATTTTTAGCAGACTTTCTGTCGCCTGTGGAGCAACATTTACTCAATCATTTCTTATCAGAACGCCTTTTAGCATTTTGGCGATTTTAATGATTCTTCCGTTCTGTTTGACGCTGTTCATGAACTGTGTAAGCAATGTTTATACTTACTAATAGGTAGATAGACGAAATCATATTGATGAGCTTTATTATAGAAACTTTATTGCATGTTAATTCCCCAGGGGGATAAATGCATGGATGTACAATGTACTAGAGAGTACTACAACAATAGTAATAAAGAAAGGCTAACATCAGGTCTAAGGTATACAATGCTAAAAAAAAAGAAATATATATATAAAGTGGTATAGATCTAAGTTCTATTGGCTTCTTCTCTCTTTTTGAAACATTTTGAAATATACTTACATACTTCATTGATGACGTCTATATTTGTACATGATATGATATATTTAAAAGTGTCTTCCTTTGATAATGTTTTACATTTTTTTGTCGAGCTTAATTGAATTGAACAGTGATTTACGTTCGTTATCATATAATATACAGTCAAGCATAAAATGCGATTCATCTTCAATACAAGAATTATAATAATTACAGAATTTGCATAGTCATGTATTTGTCTGGGTAGAGACTCCGACCACGTGGACATGATACAATCACCGATTCTACCGATAGAGATCCCTACAGAAGTCTTTCGTGTACACAAGCTTGGATCAGAATGCTGTTAATGTCTCAGGGTGGTTTGCCATCAACAAAACCGATATTTCAAGGCAAGCATATACGAGTAACCTTTGGATAAATTGCCTCAAAGTCGTTAAATAAACATCTATAGTGACACAAATGAAGTTGAAACGTTGTGACTGTCGTTCAAGCAAATATTGTTTGTAACAATTAATTGACAAGGAGGAATTAAAAACTAATAAGTAAGTAAATGGCATTGATCAATTTTCAACGTAGATATCACAATAATACCAAATGTATATGGTTTTGCCTCACTTTTATACATGACATATTGAATTACTACTACATTGATGGATATAGAACATGAAAGCGGCATAGAAAAATCAGTCTGTCTACGCGGTAATTGGTGACTGCATTAATAATTGTCTTTCCTTCACTATTAGACAACCTTTCATCACAAATTTCTCTCCTCTGAGGTGTATAACAGGCTATGAAACCAATTAAATGTCCCCTGTGTTTTAGTTTAGTCTAGGTGGGGAAAATGCAGTAAATTATCATTTATAACATTTGGATAAATTGCCTCAAAGTCGTTAAAGAAATATCAAAAGACTTGGGCTTGCCATGGCTGACTTTGTTCATCTGCTCGAGTGAAGAAAGTTGATGAATCCTTTTATGGTCATCGGGGCAATGAGAGATTACAAGCGCAGAGGTGATAGAAGTTTATGAAAAAGCCTTGAAAGCTGTTTTGCTGGCTGTGCATCCATCCTAGGATGGTTATCTCTCGGATTATTTATTCAGTGACTGTATGCATGTACGTATACGCCAAAAAGCAGTTACTCAAGCAACTGGATATGATTTTTGGAAACCACTACCTTTCGTCGTTTCCAAAAATCATATCAAGTTGCTTGAGTAACTGCTTTTTGGCGTATCGTATTACCTGGATGTCTAACCTTCATCGACGTACAATGTACGTAGCGTATATGTGGACGTGTGTGTATGTGTATATGTATGTATGTACGGGTTTAGGTGTATATGTGTTTGAGTGTGTGCCTATGTGTATTTATGTTCGAGCTTTAGTTCGACATAGGTTCGGGCATTATACCAAACGCTCTAAGGCGATGTAATTCATTATGACAGCCAGGGTCCAATTATCTAGCTACCTCACGACCAGCAAGCCCTCGATGAAACATCGGCATAAAGTTTAGAATCTAGCGCACAATACATCACCCTCCTGTCTCAACTTCAAACATTTTCTGTATCCACATCACGACACAAGAGAAATTCAAGCAACATAATAGAGCGAAACCCACATCAATCAGAAAGCGTAGAGTGTGTTGAAGTCTAATATGACATGACAAAAATAGACTGTGTTCCATTCAAGGGCTTTTCGGAGAACTGTACTGTGCAACGGAGAACATCATTCCAAATTTGTTATCAGGAAGGCCATTCTCTGGCATCTGTTGCTTTCGACCTCGAGCATCTTTCAACTACCCTAAGTTTTTGGAGGGGGAGGGCCGGGGGCGAACGAAAATTGATGCACGCGTGGTGCCATCCATATAATAAAGTCAGTGTGGCCTTATCAGTCAGCTTTAGCCGAACAGACGTCGCTGTGAAACGTGCCATTTTTTAAGGTCTGGTATGCAAAGAAGATGAAATGCTTTCAGATATCTTTATTATCTCTATTATGTAAAGACAGGAAATACGAGGTTTTTTTTTCTTGGCATGGGGTAGATGCAAAGGCCAAGAAGCCTTTCTCACTGTATTATGAAAGACTTAAAAGACATAGAAAAGTCTTGAACGTTCTTCTGATGGATTTTATATATACACAGGAAAATGGCGGGGGTGAGCATTAAAAGATGAACACTATCACGTTTTGGATTGAAAGAAAAAAGTTATCTCTCAACATAAAACTAACGTTTCAAAGTCTAATGTGGCGTTATGTCTACAAACATATGCTTGGACGTTTGTGAAATTTGGTATCTCGGCGGATCTCAGAAAGGTCTCAGAAAAGGTTATCTCATTCCCTGTCTTTAATTTCGTGCTAGGTGCATGTCTTGTGGCTCTTGGGAGCCCAGTGGGAAAGTGCATAGACATAATCAACAAGAAATTCACTATTATTAATGAATAAATCAGGAAATTCAAAACAACTGTGAAAAGTTGTTATAATGACAAACAAGGGGGGAAGCTGGTCGTTTTTAAAATGTATCCAGTTTCTAGAGTAACCATTTTCATGTGCCTGGATGTCTAACCTTCATCGACGTGACTCCGAGTATTACACGGAGGTATGAGATCTTGGATTTCTAGATCTTATGTTTTATATGATTTCCAGCTGCGGAGCCGGAGCCAGCAGCGATCCGTGAAGCCAGGGAGATCCACCCGCCCTCAGACGTGACGTGGACGTCAACAGACATGAACCACTCGCTAACATGGCGGCCCGCAGAGGATGCCGGGACGGGAACCACCTACACTGTGGAGTGCAGACTGTAAGGGATAGACCATGATGCATTTGGGGAGGGTCGGGTTATGTTCGTGAAAAAGGAATATGAAGAGAAAACAATGTTTAATTTTTCTTTAGGGGATTCACGGAGCTGTAATCCTAGTACTAAGCATAGTTTCAGAGCCGCAGGGGATTGTGGGCAAGGTCAAGGTGCATCTGAAGTTGATAAACGTCGACGTAGAAAATTGCAATCATATCCAAACATGAAATTGTTTACAATTGAGGGAACTTAATAATGTTGAACCATAATCACTCGCGATTGCACATGTTAGCACACTTGAAACTGTGCGGCGGCGTATACATGTACACGCGAATTTTGAATAGACAATTCAGTGACATTGAGGCCCAGTGCTACAGCAATAAAAGTGCCTCTCTGAGGTGGTTATGTTTCATTATATTAGACTTAGAATTGGATCATGTCCGAACGTTCAATGCAGATGCAACTGGTAGGATAAAACTTGACAACCAACCAATCTTTATCATTCATTTATTCAGACAGTTCACAAAATTGTTGCCCACGAGACTACTAATTTGTATGTGTACCGTAATGTTATAAACAATTCATTAATAATCTTAATATAAAACGTCATCATACCAATATGTTTATATTTCATAGACACATTTCATTTCTATTGACGTCATAGGTACGGAAATACCACGCGTCCTACGAAACTCGATTATTCTGTGCTCTGTTGCACTCTAACGTTATTTAAGATCGCCTATCTAATTATCGCTGTGCCCTCTTATAAGAAATCACATGTGATTTATATTTCTATTGTACTACAGAGGTTTTTATGGCTTCACCACAAAGTGGTGAAGACATATTGTGTTCCCTCATGTTTCTTCTTCTTCTCCTGCCATTTCTTTAAATGGATTCATCTCTGCCATTTTCCGGCCAAATAACACGAAATTTGGCATGAAGGTAGAGTGGGCAAATACCCCGACGGGTTTTTTTCATTTTTTTGAAAAATTGTTTTATTTGGGTTTTTTGGCCATTTTCAGGCAAAAAATATACATTTTGAGATCTGGTGCCCTAATATTAAATCCGAATGACCTGAAATTTGGTATGGGAATACCTTGGACACATGTCCAAAGAATGCCATTCACGCTTTTGACATACACCACTTTAAAATTGTGTAAAATAAGGCTTTTTGGCTATTTTCGGACCCAAAATGTACATTTTTGGCTCCTGTGCCCTAATATTAAATCCGAATGACCTGAAATTTGGTATGGGAATACCTTGGACACATGTCCAAAGAATGCCATTCACGATTTTGACATACACCACTTTAAAGTTATGTAAAATAGGGCTTTTTGGCTATTTCCGGCATTGGAAGGTTCCATTTCTGCATGGGGGTGTAGACTATTGGCAGCCATCGTAGGATAGATCCATTTTCGGTATGGGGGGTAGGGTGAAGCCATCTGCTGCATTTGCTCTCAAGCCAATGTCGGCCTTTCTAGTTGTTACATGATTTATGATTTATGATAAAATATGACAAACACACTCAAACTCGTAGCTCATGTTAATGTCCTCCTTAAACAAAGAATATTACAAAAGTACAATGAATCAGACAAACGAAGCACAGGAGTAACGAAGTAATGTAAGATAAACTAAATAGTAAGAAAATCGTATGAAATGAAAAATGACATTTACATACAGGTAAATTGTAATCATTTCTCCAAGCAGGTATCACAGAATTGTTGTGATCTTAAAATTTTAACACCGCGAAAATGTCTTTTTTTTCTTATATCGCAAAAATAAATGAATTTACAGTACTGTACAATCTTGTTGTGTTGCCCTTTGACCTAGGGGGTCAAGGTCATGGGAGTCCGTCGTTGGTTGTGAGAACATCACTGCGCATGTCTGTTTGATGAACCAAGCCACGGACTTCATGGGAGGGTGGACGGCCCGCGTCAGTGCGCATGACCAAGAACAGTCGTCCGACTGGGCCGTCAGTCAAGAATTCAGACCGGCGAAAGACTGTGAGTATTTTCTTTGTTTGTTTACTTTATTCTCCATTAGGCCACAGCAAGGTATAGCAAAAAAACAAGGCGGGACAAAAAACAAGATTTCTATATTTTCAAATTTTGAGACCATAAACCTTGTGAAACAATTTTTTTTGTTATTCAGCGGCAACATCACATAGAAAGGAATGAAATACAACACTGCAACAAAGTAAATGTAAAACATTAAATTAGAGCCTTTTCTTGTCTCCTCTCTTCAGATTTATCTGTCAACCAAGTTCCAGAATGGCAACAGACATATTTGCCTATTTTCGGCATGTTGACCACTGTCAGAGGGCAACAAAATTTCTTCTTTTTTTCCAAAATAAATTTTCCAAAACAAAATTTCTTCTTTTTGTTCAAATTTGACATCAGCGCGCGCATTGATTTTTTAAAATTAATGCGAGCGCTGATGTCATTCATAAACATTACTTGATGTGGCCTTAGTAAGTACAATGTATACTACACTAGTCTTCCTGGAGTCATAAAAGGTGTATATTGTAAATCCTTGTCTTTTTTTACCTCACGATACGGAAATACTGCTTTGTGTGGATAAGAGCTGTTATTTCAATCTTTTCTGGCGCAGATGCTATTATATCAGATTGCTACAAACTACCCAAAAAAGGCACTCCTAGTATTATTTCTTACACGGTCAGGGTCGAACAAAAGCTATTAATGGAAAAGCTTAATCAAGTTTTGCACATTCAGATTTCTTTCCCGTCAAACTGTAACTTGAGCACGCAGGTTTTTTTAGCGCTGTTGCTATGGCAGGAAGCATACGTGGGAAGATCAGCTACTGGAGAAATCCGATAATTCCTTTAAAAGGCGCTCCTCCTTGCAAGGAGACTACGGCACAAGGCTAGCTGAACCCAAACACCACCTGTGCACTAGCAATAAGCTTTACCATATATAGAAATGCGGTGGATATATCACAATGTTCGCTTGCAACGATCAGTTACACGTAGAATGCCTTGACTTTTTTGTTCAAAAGAATTTGATACATTTCATTCTATAGATAGATTCAGTTGCTTTGTTTTTTCAAGTAGATAACCCTTACGGTGTGCAAAAAAAGGTCAATGTATTAGAGAATGTTTAGATTTTTTTGAAAACTGTAGTGTGAAGGGTACTAGTGGTTACAGCCCATATGGGAAATACTCAATGTACTTGAAATTACTAAATTAAACGTAAAACTCGTAGTATTTACATTGCGTATCTAACTGATGTAGTTGACATAACGTAAGTCTGTATAGATTTGCTGTATTAACAAGGTTCTCTACAATGGCCGCACATTTGGATATTTGGAAGATAGCTTGAGGTTGGGACAGCAAAGGTCAAGGTCAATTATATGACGTATCTAGCGGCTATGCACGGTACTGCAGCGATGTACATAGGTATGATATCTCACACCCAGTGCTCAGGAAAGTCAGGCACTGGTTTTCCAGTGCGGCATTGTTCCAGTGCCGATCTGTAGTGTTCCAATGCTGAGAAAGGAGTGTGTTACTTTTGTATACTAGTATTGGCCACTCTATGCTACCGAAAACACTACTCTCCAAGCAGAGGTTTGGGTTATTTTTGGCGTGTTTTTAGGCTTTTTATCGGGGTTTCTTTTTTGCAATTTAATTTTTTTCACCCAACCCCAGTCCAGTGCAAAAAAGAAACCCCGATAAAAAAAGCGTAAAAACACGCCAAAAATAACCCAAAACCCAAACCTCTGCTTGGAGAGTACAAAAACAAACACAACCTTCTTGGCGAAGGTAATAACAAGTACACATCTCCGTCCGTCCACAGCGAACCTCTCCACCCCGCATCTGGGTCTGGGCAACATGGAGGTCGGCGTGGACGAGATCACCGTGACGTTCAAATTACCCATCACCCCCTTCGACCCGGAAGGCCATCCCTGGCATTACTACAACGCTATGTACTCACTGACCTGGTGGAAGAAAGGCGACAACTACACGGTAACTGTCATGGACGTTCATCTGTGTTGGTAGTAATCATAGTAGAATGTAAAACTTTATTTCATCACACAGGTTAAACAGAGATCAAATTTTCAGCGACCACTGTCGCCTTCATCAGGATAATTAATCACCAATCACTTCAAAACGTAATCTCGCGAGAGTTACGGTTACAGACACGTGACCTTATACAGTTACACGGTAACTGTATTGTATTGTATAGAACATCTACAGTAGACACTGACTTTTGCATCAACGATTTGTCAGTGAATATTACCCCTATAACAACCGGTTAGTCCTCGTAAGAGTCCACACGATCGGCGGGGCAAATTTCCGTCTTGCAAACGGCCGTCGCCTTTCAGAACGGCCGTCGTCTTTCGATGCCATATCGCTGACTGGTCCTTGTCATTTCTGAGCGTATAATACTTTTTTGAGGTTCAAAAACGTAATATGTACTATAAAAAGGAACATTCAAATTGCAAATTATGTCCCTAACGTTACATGTATAGCGCGAGTCGGCAAAATTAATATGTGACACATTTCTTTCGACACAAAGTACTAGTACTCTAAACGCAATGTCAACCATTATACTGTATGCTCTCCTTCAAACGCCCACACATGTATTGGGTGATAAAATGGTATTCTAGAGAAGAAACCCTTCAAATAACCTTCACTTTCCTGGACTAGGTTTGTGGGTTTAGCAATCTAGTTGGGCGTGTTAAATCTTAACGAAGAGTGTTAGCCTGCGTGCTCAAAACTGGCAGACGCTCGTTAAAACTAACACACGGTGTTCCAACCCTATGTAGTCATCAAATTGCCCTCAACTTTGCTGCAACATGAAATTCTACATTGCATACTAATTCCACCAAGGGAAATGTCTCATGAAGTTTGCCTGGTCTTTGCGCGTGCAATATTAATGTTGCACACAAACTTGCGAAGGAAAGAAACATGAAATATGAATGCGGACACATTCAAATTAAGAAGCTTTGGCGATTTCTAAAAAACAAATATTTCACTCAGGAGCACAGTAGAATTTACCAATATATCAGCAAACTTCTTTTCCATAAAATCCCACATATGTTTACACAGTGAAAATAAAAAATCAATGGAAACATTCATATTTTTGTATACTGCAGTCATGATGTACGCAGATAACAAATGATGCATACGTATAAAAAGCAACAACAACAAAAAGATTAGAAAAACCAAACACTGGAAAATATTAATAGAAACGTTGTGAACATTTAGGTACCCGAGCGGTTGATGTGTTATACAGAATGCACAATTAGAATTCTCCTAAGGCCTAAATCCACCGCCTGGGGTTGATATAAATTGGATCCTTGGTCGGGTGAGGGCGTCTTATATCAAAATAACCCTCACATCCGTAGGCAGTAGGTGTTCAAAGACGGACGAGTAGCGCAGCTCTGAATCGCCAACTTTGACCAATTATGGAAATATTTCTGTTGACGGGACGACGTCTATCACGTCATATAGCACGCTCGAGAGCAAGACAAATGTTTATTCATCGCATGTATGGGCGCCAATTATTTCTGACGGCATAGCTTGTGGCAGAGTAGTGTGGGTGCCATCCGTTTTGTAACGGGGCTCATTGAATTTCTGAACTCGGGGTGCGAGTGCAAGGAACCCCGTTACAAAACGGATGGCACCCAAGCTAGTAACATAACACGGGCCTATATAGTATGGTGATTAAGGGAGTCTCACTGGGTAACACAATTATCATCTGTAGGCATTAAAATGTGATTAAGGCGTTTAAAGATTCCATTGCTGTATGGGGGTATAGACTATTGGAACACTTCACATTTTAGACAGGGGTTGATTTTGGGACATTCCATTTGAGCGGGAGGGTGATGGGTCCATTTTTGGTACGGGGATGTGGTGAAGCCATTTGCTGCATTTGCTCCCGAGCAAATGTCGACCTTTCTAGTCATCACTTCTTTTCGATGCTGCGTAGTATACAAGGCAGAATCCGAATAAGTCGACGTTTCTTTGCAATTGAATGGCTCTGGACCATTAAGTTTCCAGTCCCTTCATTAAATTACTAGTGATATCCAAGCGCACAACGGTGTTAGTTTCCAACGACTGGCAACCCACATGTAACTAGAATTCCACGATTTCATGCCTTCGACAAAATTAATGATGTTAACAAATGATGTTAACTTTCATTTTGGGGCAGTTTTGCAAATCTGTGTTCACCTACAACAATAAATAAGTCTTTATTTTCGAGGTCTAGGGTATTGGTTTACCAGCAAATCAGACAATTAGCGTTGTTTACACGACTTCAAAACGCTAGAGAGCTGGAGTTGTTGATAACTGTCTGAGAAGCTCAATACTAGTCCAGCAGTCCTGCAACAGAGCCCCTTAACAAGTTAGGGGGAAAATGCAGCATGTCAAAGAACGAGAGCTAACTACCATCTAAAAATCATGACCCTAGCACGTCCAGATCACGAAATTTAAAAGCCAGAAGTTTCACTGCAGTACGTTCTAATTCAATGACATGGGGACCCCCCACAAAGCCCATCAAAGTCAAACTTCCAAATGCAGCCAGTATGAAATTCCTGTCAGTCGCCACTATTGCATTATACTACTATTTATAGCATTTTTCTCATTATTTATGCAAATTAAGCCTTATTGACACCAAATATTTGTGACCCCAGCCTGTTTCTATCAAAACTGCTTGCCTGCCCCAGATAATGTAGAGCTCAAGGATGTGACCCACTTCCACATCTGTGTCTATTTTGATATACAGTACTAACTTGTCAGGGCTGTTTTCAGAGTAGCTGAGACTCTTGTTATTATAGGACACTTCGTTGGTACTGTTCAAACAATTATCTCTACACCCTGTCAGTGTGATTGTTATCTTACCTTAGTTCACCCTGATATCTGTTATCTTAACCTACTACATAGAACAACACGCCTGTTAGCGTAACCTACTTAACCCAACTATGCTGCTAGTTTAACCAACTACATAAAAGGACAAAGACTTCGCCTACACTTTAAAGATGTGCAAACAAAATGTCCTTAGGCTATTACACGTACCCACAACCTACTACAGACTCCAAACTTTAAACCCTCAATCTAAACCCCTTAACCTATTCACAAAAAATTTAAGAAAAAATTCTATTCTACAACTTCAACTACTGAAAAACTAACAATCACCAAAAGTCCACTACGTAACTGCAGTATGAAAGACATTTAGATTTCTCTTATCAATTTATCAATTAATCAAATTGGGTCACAATTTACATAATTAATATCTGTTACTGTTCCTCTTCCTCTTGATTAAATATGCCACCATTTTAATTGTTCTATTATGGAACACAGCAGATTTATAGACTTTTGTCATTAATTATGTAAATTAGATCGTGATCTGTGTAATTGTCATCTAATTAGGTCAAGCATCACTTAAGCTACCGAGATCCCAAAAATAACAACAATCCGTCAACCGGTTCTTGAGCTATCCTACTTCAGACATTTTCAAACAAATGCCTCTGCATTTCCCAAACAAGCTGCTACGGGGCCCAAACTTACGGCACTTTTTTGTGAGCACAAGAGCTACGTACCATCTAAAAATCATGACCCTAGCACGTCCAGATCACGAGATTTAAAAACCAGAAGTTTCGCTGCAGTACTTTCTAATTCAATGACGTGGGGACCCCCCATGGAGCCCATATCCGAACTTGACCTTGGTATTGTCAATGGTAATTTGCCAACTAAAAAACATGAACATCCATTTAAAGATTCTTGAGTTATCTTGATGACAAGAAAAAACACAAAAAACAAAGGTCAACTGCAGTGACATAGAAACCCCCACGGGGCCCATCTTTGAACTTGACCTCGGCATTTTCAACGGTAACTTGCCCACTAAAAATAATGAACATCCATTTAAGGATTCTTGAGATATCTTGATGACAAGGAAAAAACACCAAAAACCAAGGTCAACTACAGTGACTTAGGAACCCCCCACGAAGCCCATTTTTAGCCTTGACAATGGCCACCCCTAAATCAACCTGCCTGCCAAAAATCGTGAACCTCGGACCTTGCCTTCAAGAGTTATCGTGCCTAATCTGCCAAACAGTGCAAACCCGATTTCATAACCTTCTCCGAAGGCATAGCCTTCAGTCGAAGGCAATTATAAAACGCATATTCTCTCTGAAGTGTGTACCATTACACCACTTAGATTTTGAAGTCCCTGAAAGTTGCACACGTTGAATTGTCTTTGCAGCAATTGCCTTGCTGTGATTTACTGAATATGTAGCATACTTCACGTTGACGTGCCTTTTAAGAGTTGTTCATCATTCCAAATCCTCGGAGAGACAACTCTGCGTGCTTCAAACGTGAGTGACGCACACGGACCTATCAATTAGATCGGGACTACCGACCCTTGGAAACCCTGGGGGGCAACCTGCCTTTTTCGATTACCCACTCCTGAGTACGCCTACGACACAAACGCTACTATGTGACGTCAAAGCATGCTAGCACTATCACTATTATGAATATCGCAAGCCGCTCTTAAGCTTTGTAAGTGAACTGATTGAATTGTTGTATGTAACTATACTTGTTGCCCGGAGTTAATGTAATTTAGCAAGATCTGAGGTATAACTGCACACAGAAACGTATTCAACAGAATGTAGAAATATACTATACAATTCACTCCACAGCGCTGTATTTCTGACAGGTACGTTAAGCACACAGTGTACCAACTACCAAGGTTGGCTCCCTCCCAACGACCATCGGTCCATAAAATTTTTAACGAGCCAAAAGAAAAGAGAAACAACTTTTTGAAAAGCTGATCGTGAGCCAAGATGGGAATAGCTGGTAGGGTGGCGTGAGTGTGATGACGATGTGTGACACAAATAATGGGTCATCTTGGCGACTCGTGCTAATAAGACTGGACTTATGCACAATTGTAATGTATCAAGAGCTCTTTCTAACGGAGAAGAAACATTTTGTAATTGTTTATTAGCGGTTACGTGCGGTAAAGAATTGAGTCACTTCTTGTTTCATTTGACCGGTCTTTCCCTTCTGACACCTGCTTGGTTTTCATTTATATGGTAATATATCCGATATGTTATGAACGAACGAACGAACGAACGTAATACGGACAAAGTCGGGTTCTTGTGGGCCCCCGGCAAAAAAAAATCATGGCTGACCATGATTAGAAATGTGGGTCTCCAATGATAAATGACAGCTATTTCGTTTGCCCCACACAGGACACGACGACCGGGAAAGTCGTGGAGACGACCCTGACTGTCGCAGGTCTGCACCAGGCCACTACGTACTGCCTAACCGCCATGTGGTCCATCCGGGTTCCTCCCGACAGGCATAGCGACAACAGCAAGCCCGTCTGCGTCACGACCAAGGAACGGAGTAAGGCATTACACTACTACTTTGTTATTTCTCCGGGTACGGAAATCTTGTTTAGGGTGGCGGTGCTGTGGGTTTGTGTGTGTGTTTGTCAGGACAGAATAGGTTGAAGAGCACATGGGTGGGGGAGATTGACAGGCAGAATGACAGGAGGTCAAAGACTGAATGCAGACTTTGGCCGGGATTCAGACGATAATGTTTTTGCTTGTTTGTTTCCAGTCCCGTCTGAAGGACCAAGGAATATTTCTCTAAAGCCGCTCCCCATCAACTGCATGTCACCTTCTGTCCGTGACGTCATCATTTCCTGGACAAACAGTGAGGTAAGTTCTTCGATTTTTATTCCATGGAATTCTGCATACGATATACAAATATAACAGGAGGGGAAATCATCAAAAGCCACTTAGTAAAATAGTATAAGCTACTACATGTACTAGAAAATTGCTGAACATACATTTTTGCAAACCCCATTGCATGCTGGGAGGCGTGGGGTTTATGGGTAGCACAGAAGGACAACAACATCGTTACTATGACGACGATTTTCATATCACCGATGACGCGGGTAGGCACTGTCAGCCATGTTAGTGTCCTTAATTTGTATTCCAGCGGGCCATAATCTTGTATGTATTCTTTTGATATTCCTGGCCTATACACACTTAATAGAGGTTTTCTGAGAGGTCTCTAGATGTGAGAAAAACGCTACGCCTACTTGGCACGTCAGCAGAACGTACGAAATCCGTAATCCAGTTTGGCAGAATATCTCGTTGAAGGTCATATTTGGGTATCTGTGGGTGACACTCCGTCTACATACACCTACAGTTTTCAATTCCCGAAAATAGTTTCATCAGGTTGGTAAAGTATAGGATACAGAAGTTTTCTTTTACACAACCAAATTTTCTCACCTACGTGCTTACGTTACGGTGTTTATCAGACACGTTCCTCAGAGCTTCTGACTGGAGCTACTGCTTGTGGAGGACACAATCCCAAACATGACTGAGTTTGCACCACCCCCACCCCCCATCCGGTTTTCACTTCTTGTGCCTGAAACTGGTCATGAGATATCGCCTGCAACAGGCGAGATTCTGACGCAACGTTGACTAAATATCCGACGAAAAGCTTTAAAGATCCGGGTTACGTTTTGTCGCCATGCTCACCTGTCTACGTGTTAGTGCCCATATGTATTAAGTCATTTGAAAATGGAGAATTATAGGTAGCACAGTAGGACAACAGCATCGTTACTGTGTTCTAATTTATACATGATGTATCTCCTCAGATTGCCGCCTCAGTCAAGCCCTATGAGGTGAAGACGTACGACGTGAAATGGAACGACCACGGCAACCCGGGGGATCGTGGCAGCATGGCCATGACGGTGAACGCCACTGATAGGTCCCTGAAGATCACGTGTCTGGGGTCCGTGGAGGCGGAGGTGCGAGCCTGTAACACGGCAGGGTGCGGCCCGGCCATCAGAGGCGTCCTCAAGTTCTCCGGCGGAGAGCACCTCGGTAAGGGCTTTTTCATACAATTAAGCTCTGTAAATATTGCTGTTTACCCGAAGGAAGACATGTTGTTTTGCTCTTTTTCCTCTTCTCCTCCAAACTAATAAGTTCAATGACATAAAGCAGACATCTGTCACCATGGTAACTAGTGTTGGGTTACATCGATATATTATGTTGCAATTTTATAGCAGGATGGATTTAGACTCCTGTCTGACCATATA